ATATCTATCATATATATACATATAGAGGTGTGTGTGTGTCTATATATGCTTATGTATGTGTATATATAAGTGAAATGAGTGACAGCAATGATACAAAGGATTAGAGGGAAAAATTAAGATTATTTTATTACTATAAGATACACTATTCATGAAATGGTATCATGTTATTTGATAATAGACTTGGATTAGTTGTAAATGTATATTGCAAACATTAGGGCAACCACTAAAAAAAGCTAAAAAAAATAAATAAAAGAGGCCTGATATGCTAAGAAAGGAGAGAAAAACGGAATCATTAAATCCTCAGTTAAAAACCGAAAAAAGTTGAAAAAGAGAAGACAAAAATAGGAAGAATAAGTGTAACCAAGAGAAAACAGTAACAAAAATGACAGATACTCATCCAACTATATTAATAATTACTTTGAATATCAGTGGTCTAAATACACCAGTTAAAAGATTTTTCTCAGTGGATGAAAAACATGACCCCACTATATACTGTGTCTACAAGAAACTCCTTTTAAATATAATGACACATATAGAGTAAAAGTAAATGTTTGGGGAAAAATATACCATGCTAATAAAAAGATAATAAAAAAGATCAATGGTTGGAGTAGAGCAGAGAGTATAAATTAACAGAGCATACAGGATTTTAAGGGTAGTGACAATACTCTGTATAATATAAAATGATGGATAGATGTCATTATACATTTGTCCAAACCCACACCAAGAGTCAACCCTAAGGTAAACTACAGACTTTGGGTGATAATGATATATCAATGTAGGTTCATCCTTGGTAAAAAATAGACCATTCTGGGGATCCCTGGGTGGCTCAATGGTTTAGCACCTGCCTTTGGTCCAGGGCATAATTCTGGAGTCCCAGGATCAAGTCCCATGTCGGGCTCCCTGCATGGAGCCTGCTTCTCTCTCTACGTCTCTGCCTCTCTCTCTGTGTCTCTCATGAATAAATAAATAAAATCTTTAAAAAAATATATACCATTTTGGTGAGTGATGTTAATAATGGAGTCAGCTATACACATGCAGGGAGCAGGGGATATATGGGAAGTCTGTACCTTCTTCTCCATTTTATTGTAAACCTAAAACTTCTCTAAGAAATTAAGTTAAAAAAAAGTGTTGGGGTACATTTTTTTTTAAGTTGGTTGGGTGTCTGACTCAGTTTCAGCTTGGGTCAGGATCTCAGGGTTGTGCGATCGAGACAATGTTGGGCTCCCAGTGAGGAGTCTGCTTGTCCCTCACCCTTTCCCACGCACCCCCCCCTCCACCCTGCACACACATGTGCACTCTCTTTCTCTAAAATAAATAGATGAGGGACACCTGAGTGGCTCAGCAGTTGATCCCGCAGTCCTGGGATCGAGTCCCACATCGGGCTCCCTGCATAGAGCCTGTTCCTCCCTCTGCCTACATCTCTGCCTCTCTGTCTCTCATGAATAAATAAATAAAATTTAAAAATAAATAATTAAATAGATGAGTGAAATCTTTAAAAAAAAGTTGTCATCTTCATTCATTTCATTATATTATCATTTTTTATTCATATTATTCATTAAAAACAATCAAGAAAGCTAAAATTTATTGAGTGCTTGTTATGTGTGTGCCAGTTATTGTTTAACTTTATATGTATTGGGATCCCTGGGTGGCGCAGTGGTTTAGCGCCTGCCTTTGGCCCAGGGCGCGATCCTGGAGACCCGGGATCGAATCCCACGTCGGGCTCCCAGTGCATGGAGCCTGCTTCTCCCTCTGCCTATGTCTCTGCTTCTCTCTCTCTCTCTCTCTCTCTCTCTGTGTGACTATCATAAATAAATTTAAAAAATTTAAAAAAAAAACTTTATATGTATTTACTGATTTAGTCCCTCAAAAACAATGACACAGGTACTATGATAATCTCCATTTTATACATTAGGAAACTGAGACACAGAATAAGCTTGAGAAAGTCATATAGCTAGAAAGTGACAGTACTAAGATTTGAATCCAGGTGTCTAGCTCACCAAAATTATAATACACTACTTTTTTTTCTAAAGACTTATTTATGTCAGAGAGAGAGAGAGAGAGTGCGCGCAAGCAGGAAGAGCACAGAGAGGGAGAGACAGAATCTCAAGCAGCCTCTGCGTTGAGTGCAGAGTGCATTGAGTGACTGGGGCTGGATTTCATGACCCCGAGATCAGACCTGAGCTGAAACCATGGATCAGACACTCAACCAAGTGCACCACTCAGGTACTCATAAGATATAATGCTTCTACTTATTCATTCATTTAATCATTCATTAGTTCATCAAATATTTATTGAGCATATGTAATATGACAAAAACTCTGATAGAAACATTTTCAACACAGAAGGTCTTAAAATATTTACCTTTCTCAGGAAGCTGCTAGAGGAAATGCTCCAACAAAACTGGGAAACAAAAAAGGAAGCTACTGGAGGAGATACTTCATCTAAACAGGAAGTAAACAGTAAAAGATAATGACCTGGGATCCAGAAAACAGAAGACTCTAGGAGAGAAGGGAAGGGAATTCCCAAAATAGTGGTAAAGCATAATCCCAGGATGACATCTACACAGCACCAGTTGAGATTAGAGAAGAAAGGAGAGCTCCAGAAGGGATATCACTAAAACAATACGGGACTGATTACCTGATATGTGTGACCGCACAGGGAAGACCTCTGTTGGGCAATTTAAGGGAAGAATTAATGACAGAAACATAGAAAATATAACATAAAAACAAAAAAAGGGCAACAATTATCAGCCTTTAGAAAAAAATAATGTTGTACCATGGTATGGAGATTATATCATTCATAATTATATAATTATTCATTTCCTTCCCACTCTTGCATTGGTTCCCTGTAATCAGAAGAGGTTTCCTACCATCCAGACTTGGGAATTTGGCCCTGTGACTTGTTTTGCCAAAGGAATGTGAGTACATGTGACACATGCTACATCCAGTCAAAAGCTTTAAATGTATTTGTGGGGTTTGATTCTGTCTGCCTTTAGTTCTGCCCCAGACAGTATCTATCTACTGAAGATGGATCTCAGAATGAGAATGAGAAGACACATGAAATTAAGATGAACTGAGCCCAAACAAGGCTAGCAAACACAGCAGAGCTACAACTGATCCAAAACCCTTTTGAAATATGAGCAAGAAATAAATGTAGTTTTTAGCTACTGAAATGTGGCTAACAGCAAACACTGACTAGTACACACAGTTATCACCTATAGCTCAGCAATGAACATAATTTAATTTACATAAAAATAATATAATTACTTTATCTCTATACTATAATTAATAATAAAATAATAATATTTTAACATTGATTCTGTAGAGATTCAACCAGAAAGCTGAAACTAAATGTTGTGATACAATTGTTAGGAGGGTGGGGAGAGGTGAGGGGAATATGAATAAAACAGGTAAATCCTAAATCCTAATACAGCAGAAAAGAAGACCAATAATGTCCAAAGTTGGAAAATCAATAAATATGTTATTTAGAAATATGCAGATAAATTGCAAAAGAAATAACTAAAGGAATTGTAAGTTTTTGCTTCAAAGGAGCTAGAATCAAGGTGAGAAGGGTATAGATAAGGGAATAGTTTTTGTTAAAAGTCTTATGTAAAAGACTGATTTTCTCTGAACTACCTACACGTATTAATTTTATAAAAATTTTAACTCATAAGTACAAAAATTAAAAAAAAAAACAATAAAACCAAGGGAAGCAGTCAGACCTGATTTACTGAAAAAAAAAAAAAATAATATATATATATATATTCTATTCCTGAAAGGCAAAAAAACACCCTAGTTGGATCAAAAGACCTGTTTTCGTTATTTTATAATCTGGCTTCTACTTTTCTCTAGCTGCATCTTTCTTAGCTCTGTTTGTTTCATTACTTAGGGGAGAACAAACACTATTACTGGTCCCCCTTTACTACAGAATTATAGTCTGTCAGATGTCATTAACAATATATTACAGGAAAGACACTGCGTAACAGATAACATTAAGGACTAACTTGTATAACTTGTTAGTCAATTTGTACATTGATTATTTATCTACTCCATCTATGATCACTGCCTGTCTTCTTCCTAACAATCACCACCTTTTGGTCATTTCGATCATCTTTCACTGCATTACCAAAGAATGAGTAAAATAATTAAAACTGAATTAGTAAATTTTGCTCCCTATTTAACAACTATAATTCAGGGACAGTTTAAGCTCAATATGTGAACAGTTTTATTCACAAGACAAATAAATTAACAAGTAATATATTTTACAAAATAATTTATAGAATCCCTTTAAGTAGCAGGCCCACATTTAAATGAATAGATTTACCAGGGTATCCAGGTAGCTCAGTGGTTAAGCAGCTCTCAATTTCAGCTCAGATCATGATCTCAGGGTTGTGAGATCAAGCCCCGCATGGGGCTCCACACTGGGTGTGGAGCCTGCTTGAGATTCTCTCCCTTTGTGCCCTTCCCACCCTCCCCCCACCTCTCTCTTCCTCTCAAAAAAAAAAAAAAAAAAAGAGAAGAAGAAGAAGAAGAAAGAAGAAAGAAGAAAGAAGTAAGAAGAAAGAAGTAAGAAGAAAGAAGAAGAAGAAGAGGAAGGATCTACCAAAATTCTGGCACAAAGTTTTCCAGAAATATATTTACTAAGCAAAGGATGATATACCTGTTTAAAGTATAATGACAGAAGGCACTAGAACTATTTATAAATATTTTTATTTTACCTATAGATCTTACTTATGAGGTTCACAGTCTCTTCCTTTATTGTGAAGAAACAGAAGTTATTTGACTGCAGCTAAGTGTCCCCTGGTAACTTATACAACATCAGTGGATGGATACATATGCAGAAAGTATCTTAAATGGGTAACGCCATCTCATATAGATATTCTGACACAATCTTAACCATACTATACTTTGAGTTGTCCTTCATACGCCATTTTGAAAAAAAAGCATTAGGGCAGAACACCAAAGCATAAGAAAATAATCAATAAGGCATATTTTCCATACCTCTTCATCTTTCATATTCACATCCACATTTTTCGATCTGATGACTTTGGTTACATGATCAATGTTGTTTTCCCTGCAGTAGTCAAATACGTTTTTGTCTTCTTCCCTAATTAGAGTAAAAATAAAAAGTGTCTTACTAGGTAATACATAAAAGTTACATATTTTTAACACAACCTATTTAGTGCTGACAAACATCAATGGAATTTGTTTTCATAAAGAATTTTACATGAACAATAATATATTTTCCATAAGACATTATATATCTGATATCTAAAGACTAAAGTTCTTAACAACTGTAAGAGTTTCCCTCTTACAGTTCATCTGCTCCATCTGCTTTAACAAATTCCTCTAGTACACTGATATAATACCTTGAGTAGATTTTCTCAGCGCTCTTCCTCTCCGCAGTTCCTTTTATGTACTGACAGGCACAGATTTCCTGACTCAGAATTTTCAATAGTAGCACTACAGTAACGAGGTTATTTGCTATTGTCTATACAGAGGTCTCAAAAGATCAGGACACAGCTTACTACTTGTCTTACAGAATAACGGAATAATAGGATTGCTACACAAGTTAAAAAACGTGTGTATTATATATATATAATGTTATATTACACACACATAATACATATATAAATATACACACATATAGACATACATACATACACATATACACTAATGTAGTTTTCTTAAAGCAAAGGCAGGAAGCAATTTCCTTAAAGGAAAGATAGAGCATACAAACAAAATTCAGAAATCTTTCCATGAGATATTAGAAACAAAGACTAGGAACAAAACTTGGGAAGCATACTATACCCAGCACTATTCTAAGTATATTGGTGGACTAAATTCATTCTTCACAGAGAAAAAGAAACAGGTAAGGAGAGATTATATGGCCTGCCAAATGGCATCACATTTATCAAAGGTAGAACAAGAACTCACTCAGATCAACCGATTTTGTATATAGTATATTTTTCTATCGTATCAAGCTACATTTTGACTAGTCAGCTAGTGCATTCTAGAATCTAATGCAGAAGTTCTTAACATGAGATCTATGAGTTTTCTACAATAGTATACAGAATTCTGTAAGTGTGTGTGCATTTTTCTGAGTGTGTTGTGTGTGGGGCGGGTATGGGAAATTCAGTGACGAGTCTCAAAAAAAAAATCAGTAATTCCCAAAAGGATCAGTAATTTGGAATATTATCAATGAAAGTGATCTATATGTGAGCTACATTTTCTGGACAAGCATAAAAGAATGTAAATTGAGTTCCAAAAATTATTACTAGTATGTTTTATAACTTGCAGGGCCATAGCTTCCATTCATCAGAAATGGAAGCAATTGGCCTTAAGAGTCCTTCTATCTTAAGAGCCAATTTAAATACCTTATACCCTATAAAAAGCGATTTCCTCTCAGAGGTAATTAACTTAAAACACCCAACTTTGGCATTAACCAGCTAAGCTTCCTTATACATGTGATGTATTTAATTGCACATCTACTACATGCAAGGCACTGAACAATCTGTTGGTGACATAAGGATAAACAAGAAACTTTATGTTCAATACATGTACAGTACAGTTGGGATGAGAAAATCTATATACGATTAACATAAGCTAAAGACAGATCTTTAAAAAGGCCTATAAGAGTACAGAGTGCAGCTGGAGAAAATGAGGTAGAATTCCAGGAAGAGATGTTTTAAAGGAGTATGTTTGAAAACATTCAGGAGAAAATATTTTTCCAGACTACTTACTCTGAAAGAAAACAGAGAAGTCTGAGGCCAAAACCCCAGAATGGAGAAATATGACTTTTTTTTTAAATTTTTATTTATTTATGATAGTCACACACAGGCAGAGGGAGAAGCAGGCTCCATGCACCGGGAGCCCGACGTGGGACTCGATCCCGGGTCTCCAGGATCGCACCCTGGGCCAAAGGCAGGCGCTAAACCGCTGCACCACCCAGGGATCCCGAGAAATATGACTTTTAAAATTAAGGCTGTATAGAATACCACTTTAGCTACACTTAAGTATTGCAAAAAACCCTACTGCTTTTGTGAAAGTGTATTAAGAATTCTGATTTGAAGGGCACCTGGATGGCTCAGTCAGTTAAATGTCTGCCTTTGGCTTAGGTCAGGATCCCCAGGTCCTGGGATCAAGCCCCATGTTGGACTCTCTACTCAGCGGGGAGCCTGCTTCTCCGTCTCTCCCTTGCTTATGCTCTCTGTTGCTATCTCTGCCTTTGTCTCCATCTCTCTCTCTCTCAGATAAATAAATAAATAAGGTCCTTAAAAAAAAAAAAAAAGAAAGAATTCTGATTTGGGAATAATAGGGACCTATTATTTTTGTCCAATACAGTAAGAGAGGCCCATCTAATTCCTCTTAGGAATACCTAAGAGGAATACCTCTTAGGCCCATCTAAGAGGTAGCAACTTTAAGTGCAAGAAAGGACTGTATCATTTCGAATCTTAACCAAAAAACACCCTACTCCCCAATTGTTTTGAACTTGAAAACAATGGAGAGTTGGTGGTGGGACACAGAAAGGTATATAAGGAGGATTCTTGGGATGTAGGTTACCCATAGCCAGTAATACATAAGGGTTACTCACAGATGGAGGACCTCAATCTATGAGGTCTTTCTTCCTGAATCCCAAATGTGTATGTATACTTGGGCCTTAAGCAGTAAAAGTGTAAATACGGCACAAACTTATTTTTTTTAATAAATTAATTTTTATTGGTGTTCAATTTACCAACATACAGAATAACACCCAGTGCTCATCCCATCAAGTGTCCCCCTCAGTGCCCGTCACCCATTCACCCCCACCCCCCGCCCTCCTCCCCTTCCACCACCCCTAGTTCATTTCCCAGAGTTAGGAGTCTTTATGTTCTGTCTCCCTTTCTGATATTTCCCACACATTTCTTCTCCCTTCCCTTATATTCCCTTTCACTATTATTCATATTCCCCAAATGAATGAGAACATACACTGTTTGTCCTTCTCCGATTGACTTACTTCACTCAGCATAATACCCTCCAGTTCCATCCACGTTGAAGCAAATGGTGGGTATTTGTCATTTCTAATGGCTGAGGAATATTCCATTGTATACATAAACCACATCTTCTTTATCCATTCGTCTTTCGATGGACACCGAGGCTCCTTCCACAGTTTGGCTACTGTGGACAATGCTGCTAGGAACACTGGGGTGCAGGTGTCCCGGCGTTTCATTGCATCTGAATCTTTGGGGTAAATCCCTAACAGTGCAATTGCTGGGTCGTAGGGCAGGTCTATTTTTAACTCTTTGAGGAACCTCCACATAGTTTTCCAGAGTGGCTGCACCAGTTCACATTCCCACCAACAGTGTAAGAGGGTTCCCCTTTCTCCACATCCTCTCCAACATTTGTGGTTTCCTGCCTTGTTAATTTTCCCCATTCTCACTGGTGTGAGGTGGTATCTCATTGTGGTTTTGATTTGTATTTCCCTGATGGCAAGTGATGCGGAGCATTTTCTCATGTGCATGTTGGCCATGTCTGTGTCTTCCTCTGTGAGATTTTTCTTCATGTCCTTTGCCCATTTCATGATTGGATTGTTTGTTTCTTTGCTGTTGAGTTTAATAAGTTCTTTATAGATTTAGGAAACTAGCCCTTTATCTGATATGTTATTTGCAAATATCTTCTCCCATTCTGTAGGTTGTCTTTTAGTTTTGTTGACTGTATCCTTTGCTGTGCAAAAGCTTCTTATCTTGATGAAGTCCCAATAGTTCATTTTTGCTTTTGTTTCTTTTGCCTTCGTGGATGTATCTTGCAAGAAGTTACTGTGGCCGAGTTCAAAAAGGGTGTTGCCTGTGTTCTCCTCTAGGATTTTGATGGAATCTTGTCTCACATTTAGATCTTTCATCCATTTTGAGTTTATCTTTGTGTATGGTGAAAGAGAGTGGTCTAGTTTCATTCTTCTGCATGTGGATGTCCAATTTTCCCAGCACCATTTATTGAAGAGACTGTCTTTCTTCCAGTGGATCGTCTTTCCTCCTTTATCGAATATTAGTTGACCATAAAGTTCAGGGTCCACTTCTGGGTTCTCTATTCTGTTCCATTGATCTATGACAGCACAAACTTATTTAAAATTTTAATCTACTCTATATTTTCAATATTTATTATGCATCACTTACATAAATTATTTTGTTTTGGTATATGAATGTTTTGGAAGGCAGGGGAATTTTTTCCATCTGAATACCAGCTCATCTTCTGCTGCTTATCACCACTAAATACATCAGGCACATAGAGGACTTATAAAATCCTTATGGGTCGAATATACAATGTAAATTAAATATCAAAAAGAAATTCAGTAAAAACACCACAAATGTGCCACAAAGCTAAGTGACTAAGACAAAAAAAAAGAAAATTAAGTGATAATCCTGGGCTTAGTTGCTAATAGTTATCCCCACTCCAAGTCTGACTGTATTACTTGCCAGCAACCAAGCTGTCTTTATACAATGTCACCACCTAGTGTCCAGAATGGAGAAACATCTGGAGTAACAGCTTTCCACATCTCTTTTCTTCCCTCCAAGATTATGTAGTTTACAAATCTAATTCTCTTTTCCCGACTACATTTCCCTGTTAATACAGTACTCTGTAAGCAATCTTTCCCTCTATGACATACTTAAATAAAACATGTGCAAATGAATTCAACCATTACCAAACACAGCAGAGCTTAAAAACAATGTTAATGCTCTTGGCACATCTTCTCACTTTATCTTCCTTTCTCTTATGATTCTTAGCCAGTTATCTTTCTCCCTCTCTTTGCTGAACTTGAGTGATAAAATTACCATATCTGTTATCTGTGGGTAAACATAAGTTATGACCAAGATTATCACCTTCAAGAATATCCCACATTATCCCTAGCAAAAGACAAAAAGGTCTCTCTCTCTCTACTCCAAATTTTCTGAAATTGACAGAAAACACGATTGTATATCTGAAGTAAAAAAACTGACTAGTTTTCTTTGAAACTCTTTTGAAATATGAGGACACACCCTTATGGAAGGGAGAAATAATGTTTAAGTATGGCTGTGTTTCATCAATCACAGGAAGAATAGTTCCTTGCACACTCCTAAATATGTTATCTGTGTC